TTTGAGCGTGTCGCTTCGCAGTCGAGTAGATTTGAAGTTTTCTGAAATGTTCGCCGGCACAGCAGCGCGTCTCTTCGAATCATTTCTGCTTCGCGACCGCGTATCGATCCTCCGGTCGTGCATGAATTACATCGCGCCACCGGAATGCTCAAAGAGAACACCGTCGGCGAACGAGAAAACTCGTCCGCGGGATGTTGTCGCGTCGATTCTCTCCGTCGACGACGATTTTGACCGTCGCTATCGGTCGCCGCGTCGATTTTAATCGGAGAAGCGTTATCTTCGGTTAATTATCTCGCGTAGACTGACGAGGGTGCGTTGTCCAATTATGTCAATCGATCTTCCCAAATCTACGTTGCCGATTATTATCCAATTCTCTCGGAAATGATTAATTACTGGACTGCGAATCTTTACGCGAAATGAAGCTTGTCTTCGTCCATTGCAACCAAAAAATGAGTGAAATAAAAATTTCTTCCTTTAAAATAGTTTCAGCGGATTGAAAATAATGATCTCCATGAATGCTAAATTAATATTTAATTGAAAATATTTTCATTGTTCGAAATTTCAGCTTTGCATTTTTATTACAAACGCGTCAAATCCGCGCTCCATCGATCACTCGAATCCTTTAGACTCTTGAATCTATTCGAACGCCTCAACCCCTTCGCGATTTGTTTTCTTCATCCGACGCTGTACTCCAAGGTGCAAGCTGCAAGGTCTGCGCGGATTCGAAGGTTAAATTCTGTCCCGCGAGCGTCCTCGGATAATCGCGATTACGAGAGTACGGGCAGAAATACTTTCGAGGATCGCGACGCGTGGAAGGCGTCGCGGCGTGGTGTCGCGATAGCCATCGTAATTGTTGATTTTCCAGTGAATTGCACGAGCGTCAAAGCGTCGCATTCGCCCCGCGGACGGACAAGAGCCGCGATCGTTATCGCCGTGTCCGCGTTTATCCGGTCGCGCGAACGTGTCCCGTCCCGTCTCGCGCGCGTCTCGACGCTTATCTGCCGCTTCTGTCTTTTCCGGCTTCGACTTCGAGAGCCGCCGCGTATCGACCGAGTCACGAAATCGAGGACTGGTCGCGGGAGCCTCGTAATTTCCATACGTTATCGGAAACGCGGTTCGTGTAGACGCGGCCGTAATGGCTAAGATCGCGTGTTGCGATCGCCGCGGAAACGAAGCGGAGCGGAGCGGAGGAACAGTCACGATCGAGGTCTTCGAGCCGCGAGCCGGCTGTCCGCGAGGAGAACGATCGGCCGAGGATGGTTTGTCGTACGAAAGAATTCGAGAAAACCGTCCGTCCGCGTCCCCTCGCACCCTCGGAATCCGTTTTCCCGCGGCCGCTGTCGCGTCGCATCCTCGTTGGTATTTTCTTCGGGGCGGACGGACGCATAGTGGCACGTTCCTTCCTACCTTGAAACGCAAACCAATTTCAGGCTCCGATGCGCCACGCCGTCGCGTTCGTTCTCCGCCGCTTCTTCTTTCCTACGGTTCCTACGTTTCCGCGTTTCCGGCTCGTCGATCCGTGCGACGACGTCCGCGCTGTCAACACATCGTCATTCGGAAACAGCCACCTACTGGATGGACGAACTCCCAGACTCGACATTGTATTGTTAGGACTGCGAGGGTTCTATGCAAGCATTCAATTAAGTCGTCGAATCTGGACCGATACGGCGAACTTTGATAGTCTTGGCGACAAGATTTTGTACCTGCGAATCGTGAATCATAGTCGCACCTTTTCCCAAAATGTTGGACAGAACTCATTGCTTTTCGAATGTTGCTGCACTTGAATACGCCATCAGGAATGCGACGATCTTAATATTAAATTACTATCAGACCAGTCGGAAAGATTGATTTCTGATTTCTCCTTTTACGCTTCAATAAAAATCCGATCAAATGGAAATTTGTCTGGATAAAAATTTATCCGAGTAGGATTTCATTCGAATTAGATTTTATTCGAATAGGAATTCATTCGAATTAGATTTTATTCGGATAAGAATTCATTCGAATAAGATTTTTTATTCAGATAAGTATTCATTCCATTAAGAATTTATTCGGATAGGAATTCATTCGAATAAGAATTCATTCGATTAAGAATTTATTCGTATAAGAACTCATTCGATTAAGAATTTATTCGTACAAGAATTCATACAGAAAATAACTTTCGAAGCGATTTTTATTCTATCATTTTAAAAATGATAGAATATGCAGTGTTTGACTAGAATCGTCAAAATTGCAAAAAAAGAAACGCAAATCATAGGACACGATGAAAGACGCGAGTGCACCCTTAATCGCCTCAACCCGGCAACGTGAAGTTAATCGTCGAACTCCCTCACGAGGAACCGATAACAAGACTTAGAACCTTAAACGACTTTCGTCGAGAAGATATTCCACGCTGCGTTAAAGTGATCGCTGCATCGTTACCGGGAATAGTTGATCAACGAGCTGCGCTTCCGCAGAAACTTCGCGGAACAAAATCGCGGGACAGTGCACCCAGTCCTGTACCGAAGACCAAGTTCCTCGGTTTCTGCACGTAGCGCAGAATCTACGACACGGAATTCGGCAGAAACAAGCGAACGACGGATGCAGTATTTAATCGGTGGCTCGAACATTCATATTTGCCGGAAACACGTGCACAACTATGCCCGTTATCATACGCGAGATTGCTTTAACGTTTCTGCCGCGTTTCCGTTCTTCGTCGAATTCAATGTCGAGCTTCATTCGTCATCTTTCTTCGATTTCCCGGTAATCAACGGTTTCTCCTAAATGTCACGAGTATATCATAAACAGCGGAATTTAATCTTGGTCTGAGATTTTTAGTCCAAGCTAAATAATTCTGTTTGCTCGCTGCGAACCGCGGTTCTGGATTTTCTCTTCTTATTAGCTGTTTTTTAGAACTGCTAATCATCGTCACAAAACAGTCGACTTTTTCCGTTCGCAATCTGCCTTTAAACATGCTATCTTCCTCCATTATGTCATTCTAGATTCAGTAGTTCTTGTAATAATTCTATTTGTGCGTATTTGTTAACCTATTTCTGTGAACCGACGGGTCTTCCGGCCGTAAATAAATAATTAATAATAATACTATATGTAACATACAGGGTGTCCAAAAAATACATCGCAATCCGAAAGTGGCGGATTCTTCGGATCATTTGAAGCAACTTCTTCCTTTACAAAAATTTTCTCCGAGCCACCGTTAACGAGTTATTAACGAAAAACAGTGACCAATAAGAATCGAGTACGGCTGACGCGAGGCGGCCCAGCTAACCAGCGCGCGAAACCCAGTTCCGCTCATTGGCTCGATCGCCTCGCGCCAGCTGAGCTGGCCTCTCATTGGTCACTGTTTTTCGCTAATAATTCGTTAATGGTGTCTCGGAGACAATTTTTGTAAAGGAAAAAGTTGCTTCAAATGACCTGAGGAACCCGCCACTTTCGGATTGCGAGGCATTTCTGTATATAATATAAATAATATATATATATATATAATATTAATAATAATAGTATATAATAATAATAANGGAATTCATTCGAATAAGAATTCATTCGATTAAGAATTTATTCGTATAAGAACTCATTCGATTAAGAATTTATTCGTACAAGAATTCATACAGAAAATAACTTTCGAAGCGATTTTTATTCTATCATTTTAAAAATGATAGAATATGCAGTGTTTGACTAGAATCGTCAAAATTGCAAAAAAAGAAACGCAAATCATAGGACACGATGAAAGACGCGAGTGCACCCTTAATCGCCTCAACCCGGCAACGTGAAGTTAATCGTCGAACTCCCTCACGAGGAACCGATAACAAGACTTAGAACCTTAAACGACTTTCGTCGAGAAGATATTCCACGCTGCGTTAAAGTGATCGCTGCATCGTTACCGGGAATAGTTGATCAACGAGCTGCGCTTCCGCAGAAACTTCGCGGAACAAAATCGCGGGACAGTGCACCCAGTCCTGTACCGAAGACCAAGTTCCTCGGTTTCTGCACGTAGCGCAGAATCTACGACACGGAATTCGGCAGAAACAAGCGAACGACGGATGCAGTATTTAATCGGTGGCTCGAACATTCATATTTGCCGGAAACACGTGCACAACTATGCCCGTTATCATACGCGAGATTGCTTTAACGTTTCTGCCGCGTTTCCGTTCTTCGTCGAATTCAATGTCGAGCTTCATTCGTCATCTTTCTTCGATTTCCCGGTAATCAACGGTTTCTCCTAAATGTCACGAGTATATCATAAACAGCGGAATTTAATCTTGGTCTGAGATTTTTAGTCCAAGCTAAATAATTCTGTTTGCTCGCTGCGAACCGCGGTTCTGGATTTTCTCTTCTTATTAGCTGTTTTTTAGAACTGCTAATCATCGTCACAAAACAGTCGACTTTTTCCGTTCGCAATCTGCCTTTAAACATGCTATCTTCCTCCATTATGTCATTCTAGATTCAGTAGTTCTTGTAATAATTCTATTTGTGCGTATTTGTTAACCTATTTCTGTGAACCGACGGGTCTTCCGGCCGTAAATAAATAATTAATAATAATACTATATGTAACATACAGGGTGTCCAAAAAATACATCGCAATCCGAAAGTGGCGGATTCTTCGGATCATTTGAAGCAACTTCTTCCTTTACAAAAATTTTCTCCGAGCCACCGTTAACGAGTTATTAACGAAAAACAGTGACCAATAAGAATCGAGTACGGCTGACGCGAGGCGGCCCAGCTAACCAGCGCGCGAAACCCAGTTCCGCTCATTGGCTCGATCGCCTCGCGCCAGCTGAGCTGGCCTCTCATTGGTCACTGTTTTTCGCTAATAATTCGTTAATGGTGTCTCGGAGACAATTTTTGTAAAGGAAAAAGTTGCTTCAAATGACCTGAGGAACCCGCCACTTTCGGATTGCGAGGCATTTCTGTATATAATATAAATAATATATATATATATATAATATTAATAATAATAGTATATAATAATAATAATAATATAAGGAGTTTTCATCCTTGTTTTCCAGGATAGACTGACCGGGATTATGCCGAGGGGGGATTAGGTGATGCGCCTGGCTATCAGGAACGAGACGCGAGGCCTGCAACTTGATCCTGTTGGGTGAACGCCGGCCGGACTTTGATTTTCCGAGGCATCGGCGGCGGCAGTTCTAAGGGAACGGTCCCAGGGGACAAGCGGGAAAATACAGTCGCCGAGCCGGGAATCCGAAAAGCAACAGCGACGACGACGAGGGCGGCGGCCTACACGGAGCGCCTCGTCCTGTACGGCGCTCTTCAAACTCCGATAGCAAGGAGTTATGGTGTCTCGCACATGCGATGACTGCGGCTGCAGCCGTGGCACTGTGGCATCGTGCCCACCTTTACAAGGCGATCGTTTGCGTCGTCCTCGCTCTGATCGCCATTCAGTATTTACTTAGCGGCGTGATCGATCGCCGTTCCATAGAGACGATTTTCACCATAAACGCTACCAGGTACGTGCACCGTTTTTCTTTTTTCTTTTTTTTGCAAACGGATTCTGCCGGATCGACGGGATTATCCGATTCTTCGTCGGACGTCGGGTTGCCTTTGCTTCCATGCACTCGCCGCGGTATATTTTTCCTTAAAAATGTTGTCCGCGCTTGTTCGCAACTTCGCGTCACGTGTATTTTGTCAAAAATGCAATCCAAACGCCGCTGAACACGAGCGATTATTTTTTGCGTATTTTTCGCGAATACAAAAATATGTTTTAAGCGATTATCGATTAATCTTATTCGAATGAATTCCTATTCGAATAAAATCTTATTCGAATGAATTCCTAGTCGAATAAATTCTTAATGGAATGAATCCTTCTTCTTCTTTATTTGTAATTTTATGATCGGAACAGTTAATTGAATGACAGTTAATTGAATATCTGTGACATTGTCTATGTCGAGCGTTGATCGAAACTGCGCGACACTTTGAACTAGAAGATCTTAAAAATGGAGAAAAATCGAAATCAACAATTTTCGACGTATTACGTTTGCGAACGAAGATCTTCGAAATAGTAATAATACAAGTAATAATATATTTCTCAGGGAATTAAGATCATTTTGGAAGAGGAGACACGATTGTCCGAGCCTCGCGGCTCGTTTCCACGGTCCTTCGACGATCGTTAACTATGAAAACGAGCCGCGAGGCTAGAACAATCGTGCCTCCTCTTCCAAAATAATCTAATTCCCTGAGAAATATATTATTACTAATTTCGAAGATCTCCGTCCGCAAACGTAAGTCGACGGAAAATGATCTCCATTTTTCTCCATTTTTAAGATTGCTCGTTTTCACAGTCCTTCGACGATCGTTAACTATGAAAACGAGCCGCGAGGCTCGAACAATCGCTGCTCCTCTTCCAAAATCGGCAATCTCCGCTCGCAAGCCGCGGGACAATTGTAGAGAATTCCCAGTATTTCGATGGCGATCGCAACGGTTTTCTCCGCGTTTGTCCCACAACACGACGAACATTTAATTATTACTTCGAAAATCGCATTCCGGCCATCTTGTCGGAACGCGAGAGACCGCCTCGAGTCGCAACTTTCTAAGTTACATCTAAATCGAATCGTGTCCGCCCGCATCGTTGAAATACCATGTCCAGCGTCGTCGTCGCCGTCGCGACTCGTTTCCCCGAGCAGCTCCCGCGATAGTTTTAACGGTAATAACCGCCTCCTCGAGGCGAGCGAGCTAGCGAGCGATCGATCGATCAACGATCCCGTGAACAGCTCGGCGGCCCAGCTCGGCGAGGAAAGCCCGTCGAAAATTCCTCGGTCGAAGACCGAGGAAGAAGCCCGGGGATAAAGGGAACGGCACGCGATTATCCGGCGGAACTTTCGGGGAGCGACTTTTAAAAGACAAATTGCCGGGCCCCTCCGAGAGGATAAACAATCCGGTAAGAGCGTCGCGGCGCAAATTGCCGCGGCGTTCCGACGCGGGCCGACGACGACGACGGTCGCCGGTGTTCCAAAGCAAATTCCCGAGAAAATTCGTTCCAACGGCGTCGCCGCGGCCCGTACATTCCGCTCGGGCACGTGATCTCGTTACTTCGTTAGCGGTCATTTAGATTGCCCGTTTGCGGAAGCAGTCGTTAACGATCCTTTGACCTTTGCGCGGCCGTGCCGCCGAAATCGCTCCGCCATTTTTCGGCCGGCTTTCTACCGCGGCCGGGAAGTCCTTCCGCGACGGATCGAGCGTTCCGCAAATACGGCCGGGAAGCGGGCGAGAGCGGTTAATTAAAAAACTGTAGCGCGCGGTTAACGGAGCGGGGTCTCGCTCGCGGCATTTTTGCGGGATTTACGGGCGAACCGGCAACGGTTAATTTGAAATTTCGCCAACGGCGCGTGACAACAATTCGTTGCATCCCGCGAGACGAGCCGCGGCGCGCCGTTGCGCTACGAGACGCTGCGCTGCAGAACCGCCGCGGTGCACGGTGCAGCACGGGCGCGCGGTGCAGCGCGCCGAGGCACGTCCTACCGCGGCGAACCGAGATGCAGTTATTTGTCGACGTTTTGCGTCGTTTCCTGTCACGCGCCGCGCATTAAGTCCCAGCGACCGCGCCGGCGAGAAACTTTCTGCGCGCGGTTCCTTCGCCGGCGCGACGGAAATCAATTTGATTTCCGCTTAATCCGCCTCGATTAGAAAGCCCCTTCGTTCGTCGGGACGCTCGCACCTTTCCAAGTGCAGCAGAACCTCGATTAAGTCGCTATCTTTCGATTCTTCGTCGCCCGAACACGCTTCGCGCGCGATCTAAGACGATCGAAGACGACCCGTTCGCAGAACTACAGTGTATTCTCTGCGATTGTTGCGCAGCTTGTGGACAACAACGAACGATTTCGGAAATTTCGCCAACGTTAACCGCGCGGTACAGTTTTTTAATTAACCGCTCGAAGAGGAGATTTTTTTAAACGATAGTGGGACTGGTCTGCTAGACGATGACTGTGATGTTCTTTTTTTTAAATTTTGCTATTACGGTAAATTCTCTCAAATTGTCCCTCAACTTGCAAATAAAAGAAAAATCGTTTTTATAGATGTTGATGATCGGCGAAATTGTACTCTTCTGTACTCTTCCGAAATTGTACATCTTCGTTTTCAAGCTGAAGGACAATTGGAGAGAAATTACTGTACCTACTGTACAAACCAATAAAGACCGAATGTGGTACTATACATACAGTGATTAAAATTGATTGAAACTGGACTAAGAGACTTGAATTTTCTTTTAGATGATAACTAGATGATGATTTTTTAGATGATCTAGACGATGACCAAAATGCTTTTTTAACATTTTTCTATTGCTCAGAGAATAACAATAGAAAATAAAAAGACCCTCGTACTTTTAACTTCGTTATCGTTCAGTTGAGTTTTAAAAAAAGTTATCACAAGTGGGCCACTGTAAGTCACTGTTCTACCACCGGAACACTCGTGGCACTTAACAGCGCGGAGCTCAATTTCAATTTGACACCGTTCCGGTGATACGAGAACTTTTAACGCGTTGCAACACAACGTGTCCTCCATGGTGCGACTTGTTTGCGCGTTTGTCGTATGTTGTGTTCTACGAAGGTCGCACATGTTCCCCCGTCCCGGGTGTATGAAATGCTGAAATATAAAAGAATGCTTGTGTTCCCGTTCTGCGATGCATCTTAATGGCGACGGTAAAGTACAGCACCGGCGGTGATGGAAGTATTAGGTCTACCGGAAAGTTCTGTCCGATAGTGTCACTTCAAGCTTCAATCTATATGCACATGTTGATTTGAGACGTATATGACTATCTCTCTTTATCATTGCATTCACACACATGTACTCTCCTAAATAAACTGACACAAAGATGTCTCATGTCATTATTAAGTGAGACACGATCGTGAAAACATGGCTAGCGATGATAATGCCAGACCACATGCTGCTTTGGCGACTCGTCAGAAAATCGCAGAGGCAGGCTGGGAAATTCTGTCACATCCACCATACTCCCCGGACCTAGCACCCTCCGATTATCACTTGTTTCTCTATTTGCAAAACTTTTTACAGGAAAAAAAATTCAAAACTAAAGCCGATGTCAACCAAGCACTAGTCGAGTTCTTCGCCTCTAAAAATAAATCATTTTCTAAAAATGGCATTTACAAGCTGCCATCACGCTGGCAAGAAGTCATAAGTAACGATGGAAAGTATACTCTACAATAAATATTATTAAATGTATGAAAATTGTGTTATATTTCAATTCAAAAACGGACAGAACTTTCCGGTAGACCTAATAGA